TACCACTGTGTTAAACCATCCCGTTGCATGTCATGATGTCGGGGTATCAAACGAATCTGGTTTAAAAGGGTTAGTCATTCAATTACACCGGAGACAACGAACCACCAACATTATTGGCAGATACAAAACCGGAGTATCTGGTGGACAGTGACCAGATACCCCGGTTTTCGCACTCGGGGGTTTTTAGATCCTCCCATAGAGGTTGGTTATGTATGCATGTTGAACTTCTTTCGCACCGTACGTAAGCCAATCCTGCTAACTGGGGGTGAGGGGGAAGGACAAAACACTATAACGCATTTTTTTCTGGGCTTAAGGCCGAGGAAAAACAAAAGTCCATATCTCTCTGTGTGGAAAGATTTACACAGCCCGTCAGCTCAGGGGCCTTCCAGAGCGATGTTTCCCAGCCACTCGTGTGGAAGCTGGAAACACTGTCGGCTCGTTTCGACAGAGACATGTGCCACAAGAGTGGAATCGTGGGGGCATTCAGGTAAACACTCCTACGTTACGAAACCCCCAAGACGATGCGCCATTGTGGAGTTTATCATGGATTGCGGTTAACATCTGGAAACGAACACATGCGTGCGTAGACTGTCGGATAGCATGCTCGGCGAACGTCTATGATCGTCAACCATCTCTCCACTGCTAGATATCTATCCACTGAATACCGTGGCGACAATGTATACACTCGAGTAGCAGGACGGGGTAATATCGGGCCAGATCGGGGCAGGAGAGCGATGTGGACTGATTGAGGCAGGAAGCTGGTCGGGGTGTGATGTAATCCCGTCAGCAGCCATTGGGGTCGATGCTGGAAAACTGATCTAGGGGGAGACGGCAGGAGGGAGGAAGCGATTAAGGTGGAATCGACGACCCTGGGCTCGATGACCTCTTAACCTTGATTTAGCCTCCGGTCATAAACGATTTCGACGTGGTCGCGACCAGGCCCGTCGCGTTGCCGGTCTCACAGCAACTAATCGTGCAATCGCACGCGAAGAGACTTTTGACAGAGATGCCGTGAGCATCACACGCCATGCAACGCCTCTACCCAGCCTAACACACCGCCGTGAGGTTTGCCTGTTAAAGGATACAGACCCTTGCCAATCCACTGCTGAATCAACGGTCGTGCCCGATTGAGTGCACTGCGCTAACCACTGCACCACCCCTCCATCCCGTTCCGCGTGTAACCGGTTACACAATCCGTGAACTGTATAGGCAGTACGCGCTGGTCCGAACAGGCTCCACCGATGCCGTGATAATGACATTGATTGTAACTATTGTGACGATGGTAATGACTGTGGTGAACGTAATGGCGATATTTATGGTAATGCTTGTGACGATGGTAATAATTATGTTGGGAGCGGTATTCTAGCGGTTTGCACGCTGAGTTTCTAACCCCGGCGCCCCGAGTTCGATTCCCGCTCACGGTCAACACATGTGACGATTATCCGTCCTGGACCTCTCTTAGGTCGACTCGGCCTCAAAATAAATACTTGGTGCGGTGTGTAAACATCGCCAAGGCGGTCGAGCGTTGTCCTGGCCGCCCACTCCCGTCTGCCGTGCCGGCCTTTATACGTGCTTGCTAACAGCAATGTTACAGGCGATACGGGGGATAGTTCTTTGTGGTAATGGTGATGACGTAATGATTGCGATGATAGTAATGGTGATATTGATGGTGATTATGGAAATTACGTCGATGGTAATGTTCTTGAAAGTAACGACTGTGCGAACGATGGTGTTGATAACAATACTACTTTTTGTGAGCGTTGCTGTTGATCACATTGGTAGCAACGATGGTTATGGAGTCTTGGAAATTATTGTGATAGTAATGACATGGATGGTGATTGTTGATGGTGGTCATGCTGTGAATCCCACTCACGTGAGCGCTGCGAGTGCGAGCTTGCGCCGCTAGGCCTCCTCAACCTCTTCTGCCGCTCCTTCTCTGACAGCCGCGCCCCACTGCACTCCTCCAAGCAAACGGAGAGTCGTCCTTCCTTTCCTCCCTCTCTCCGTCTCCTATCTATCTCGCTCTCCGTTCTCTTAAGACCGGCGGCAGCGGCGGCAGCAGCAGACGCAGTGAGACGAGAGGACTGCGCTCCGCCTGTAAGGGGAGGGGGAGACGAGGAGCTCTGTGGGGCGGTGGTCACGGGAGACGCGGGTGACGGAGGCGCAGGGCGGGCCGCGCGGGGTTCGAGCCGCGCCCAAAGACGCACACAGAACCGGTCTGACCGGACGCGACGCGATATGCGCCACACGAGTCACGGTTCAAAATATGCTGCTGCTGTTGCCGAGCTTGCCTCCTGACCATCGTCCTCATCATGGCCACCGCCTGCGTCTCATGTGCATGTCCACCTCACAAAGCAAACGACCAACCGCGCGTTTTCAGCCTCGAGCCCTCTTTTGGTGCAAAACCACGACTTACTGGGGCCACCCAGGCTGGCACGCCCACAGCCATTCCTCTGGTCGAATTGGGTCTTCAGATCACGAATATGTACGATAATCGAGAGGTCATAATAATAAAGCTGTACTGCAGTATAATGGAGAATTAACCTCGTTTTGGAGTAAAACGCGAGATGAAAATGTCGTGGAATGTTAACAATTGGGCAATATCTGAGGTCTTCCATATGTGTTATCTGCCAATTAGTGTTTACATATGGGAGGAAACCGGAGAATCTGCAGAAACCCACGACAGAGTCCCCAACCAGACGGAACAGGTGAAATCCATATTATTTGCTTTACCGCCTTCTCTGAGGGCGCACAAAAGTGAGTTTCACCGTATGTGCGATCCACCAACCCTCACTGCCTCCACAGCGCTGGATTACATCCGTGCAGTAGCCACCACCGGCCGGCTGACAAAAATAACATTGTGTATAAAGGGCGGTATGTACGCTACGCTTACGGCCCTACCTTGTTACCTCCCTTAACATAAATCTTCCTTCAAAAATCTTCTGAAACAGAAGTTTAGTGCTGGATACAGCCACATTTGGCAATGTGATTTGTTAATTAGATTTTTTTAAATGTATCGATAGTTTAATTTTAATATACAATTTTATTGATGGACTATGTGTTGTCTTTGTGTGGTCTTGAACTGTTTTGCACTTTTGGAAACCTCATTTGCCAGTAACAAAATATAATTGTTTTTTTACCCTTTTTTCTGGCTTGAAATTGACGATGCAATCTGAACTTTATTTAAGGGGCGCTACGGTGGTGTGACGTTATCTTCCTCGCCTGATATGCAGGTCAGGGGTTGCCTGAATATTTCAAGTTTGCATGTCCTCCCCGTGGTCGCATAGATGTTCTCCGGTTTTTCCCTCATTTAGAAATTAGCATTTAGCTTATTTTGCTGCTATAAATTTTCACAATATAAGCCACTTTGTTGAGCTATAATTTGTGGCCAGGTCGATTCTGAAAAATAAGTCAAGACCTCAGTGAGCTTTGTCTGGTAAGATGGGGATGGTTTAGTTTCATTTGTATGTTTTTGGGTGCTTTGCCTTTCCTGTACTTTGCACTATCGTATGTTTGTATCGTTTATTGCTGTAATGTTGATATCTGCCTCTACTGGACATCTGTGAAAAAGAGCTTTATAGCTCATCAGATTCCTCCAGTATAAGTACTGTATTTGATTCTGCTCATGGTGGATACTCATACCTTTCAACCTCCTATCAGTGCCTACCTCATTACAGACCAATTCAGACCTTATTGGTCACCCAGTGCCCTTATAAATTTCAACGTGCATCGTACAAAGTCACATCACAAGGGAGAAACAAATAGAAAAAAAGTGCCCGTTTTGAAACGGCTGTACGCCGATGGATCTGAAAACTTCCCCTATACAAGAATACGGGGTAAAGCGTATGGGTTGACAGGTATGGAAAATGCTCATGGTAGACACTGGTAGCATTTTCCACCCCAAGTGGAAGTGACCCAACAACGCCATTGCCTCGCGGGTAGGGCGCCCTCATAATCAATAACGCGAATATATTTACACGTGGGTAATAACGCGCAACGTCGCGGCCATTCTATATCCATGAATACCTCGCCAAATACGTCGCCTCTCGCGACTCACGATGGTACAATCCGTCCGGCTGCTGCACGCGGGTCGATGTCATCGCTCAACCTTCGCGGTGGACGTCAACTCGAGCGTGTTTGATCACCTTTTACTGCCGCTCCGTCGTTAGGCTCGACCACAGCCATCGTGCAAGGGCCATGCCCTGCCCAAGCCCCCGTTTAGCTTGGAACAGACTTTTAGGGTAAGGGCTGTTAGCGTGCACCTCTGAAGGCCGGCACGAGGCGGTGGGTCGCCAGGACCACGTCCGGCCGCCTTTGTCTTTTCAGTGGTGATGTTTACACACCGCACCGAGTATTAATGAGGATGAGTCGACCTAGGGGAGGCCCGATAATCATCACTGGTGTTAGGCTATGAGCGGGAATCGAACCGCAGCGTGCTAGCCGCGACACGACCGCTCCCAACATTGCAATATTTTTTACCATCACAAGCATTACCATTACTGTCACCACAATCATTACCATCATCACAATACTGTAGTTACAATCAATGTCATCATTATCACGGCATCGGTGGAGCCTGTTCCAACGAGCGCGCACTGCCAGTGCAGTTCACGGATTGTGTTCTAATTTGTAAAGGGATGGAGCGATGATGCAGTGGAAAGCGCAAAAACGCCCAGTCTTAGGTATGGCCAAACTACCCCCAAGACCAACATAGATATGTACGCATGTTGAACTTATTTCGCGCCGTACGTAGCCAACCGTGCTGATCGTAGGTGCCGAGAGAAAAAAAAACAATGGGCAGGTCTTCGTGTTATTGCTGGGCTCATTACAAGCCCAGCAATAACACGATCTCGCGTGTAAACAAAGGCGTCGCCGCTGCTCGCGCCCTCTCCATCTCAGCCAATGAGGCGGGGGGGGGGGGAGAAAAAAAACGCGCGGCTCGGAACTCCCCCCCCGCGTCCTGCGCGAAGCTTGGGGGTGGGGTGGACTTGCGGGGGGTGGGCAGCCAGAGAGTCGCCGCGAATCGATGCCTCGGTTGCAGACATCCGTGCCGTGTTATTTGTGTCACCACTTAAGGCGTTACGAGCATGCGGGTGGCTTCCGTAGATGCGCTCGCTCACACTCCGTCTCTCGGCGGGGCACCGCTGCGCCAAGACTCAGCAAACGAACGGCCAAGAGATGGAATCGATTCCGAAAGCGCGTTCTGCTCGTGCACGGGATAGGCAGAGGCGGGAAGCTCCCAACGAGGGCGGGCGAGGGGGGTGTGGAGAATGAATGACGAGTGGGCGGGTTGTCAGTGGGAGTGAGTGCAGAGAGAGGCTTACTCGGACGGGACAGGCAGAGAGGATGGACGCTCTCTCCGCGCTTGTGCTGCTGGCCGCGGCGCTCTTCCCGCTCGTAGCGCTCTGCGTGGCCGCGTCTCGCCCCGCGTATCGCTTCCTCAGGCAGCTGCTTCACATGAACCGCATCCCCGGGCCGAGCCCCACGTACCCGTTCTTCGGCAACGCGCTCATGTTGAAGCGCGGCGGGGGAGGTGAGTGCGAGCCGGGGAGATTGGCCCCAGGCAGTAGTAGGAGAGGGGACGGCGCGGCTGAGGTGGGTCGCTCGATCCCAGTGCAGCGATTGGTTTCTGCACTTGGGTCGGCTAAATGCCACGTCTCGACAATGAAAGCGGTTGCGTTAAATGCGTCACCTGTGTGTGGCCAAGTAGCACGGTTGCTTTGAGTTGTCACTGTCGTATCGTTTTCACAGTCGCAGCGTTGTCATTATCCTGCGCGAATGAGCACGAAAGTGGTGGAAAGTTGCCATTCCGGTGGCAGGAGCGAGTCTCTCCACAGGAAAACCGCTGTTGCCTTCCCTAAAAAATGGTAACTACTTTATCGACCCGGAAGGGAAATGGGCCGAGTCAACCCCTAACGAGTATTGGAGGTGAGTGAGAGAGCAGGTTAGAGTGCTATCGGGTGAATTGTTCATGTTTACAGTCCACGAGTGATTAGAGCAATGACTGTTGAGTTGAAATCCAAAGTCCGAAGGTTGACTGAACTATACAACACAAAACAAGATTTGGGGTCAATATGGGTAATATAAATAGCATTTTTAATTGTGCAAGAAATACTGTGCTTTTGGTTTAAATGTGGAGAGACGGATATATGAGGGCGAAATTCTCTGCGTATCTATTTAGTTGACTAACAACTTGTCATCTGATTCTGTCCACGTGGGTCATATCTCAACGAAACACCAGCACGTTTGTGTTGCACTTTGGAGCAAATCCCTTGGTGCAAAACTCTGTCGTGTGATCTAAAATATTGGCACCAGACTTGTGACTTCCACCCATCAATGATCAAACTGCCTTCTTAACTGGATCCCGACTTAACCTGAGGTCTGTTACGAGATCAGAATATATATTTATACTGAAGGAATCCGATGAACTATAAAGCTCTTTTTCACAGATGTCCAGTAGGGGCGGGTAAGAACGATACAATAACAAACAGTGCAGATGCCCACGCTGCGTATATGTCACCCCCGCCACGTCCTCCTGTTCGGACACCTCCCTGGCAACCTTGGCCTCCTGGTGAAACAAAAAATCAACCTCCAGACAAGTCTGGAGTGTTGCACCTTCTGCGCTGCTTTTAATGTTTGTATTGCTCTCCAAATGATTACCCTCACTGTCCTCAGATCTTCCACTCTTTCCCCTTTCATCATCAACAGCTATGATATATACACTACTGGATGAATGCTTTTCCAAGTAATCATCACCCGTCAGTCTATTGATGTGTAGTGAGTCCAACTGAGTCACAGACGTTGATCCTTTTAGAGGCAACACATTATATTCTTGGTTCTTTCGGTAAAGTCACGTTGAAGGGAAACAATAAAATAATAATATATATAAAACAATAAAATTCTCACGACGTTTCGACTGCAACACAAGCAGTCATCATCAGGTGTGAAAACCAACGTTGATGATGACTGCTTGTGTTGCAGTCGAAACGTCGTGAGAATTTTATTGTTTTTTTATATATTTTATTATTTTATTGTTTCCCTTCAACGTGACTTTACCGAAAGAACCAAGAATATGAATCACTGCAGTCACGAAAGCTTTAAATCAAAAGGCAACACATTATTTGTAACACGTAACACAAAGGGGTAACTGCCCCTTCAGATACAGCCTAGGGTGGTGACCACCCAGCTAACCACTCTATACAGAGGAGTCACTGCTACGAAGGGTCGGGCCCTCACTCGGGTCCGCGACCACGTGTTTGCTTCCTAGGACGTAGAGCTTCCAGCTTGAGATGTAGAGCTTCAGCTGGTGGACGTGGAGCTTCAGCTTGTAGAATGCAGCGACCCCGGTCCCTCTCAGGGACCCGCCTTATATATCCCCCCACGGGTCGGCGCCGCCCTGCCCCTGGCTCCGCCCGCCTTCTGGAGCCTTCTAGCTCCCCCTCGATCCCTCTCGAGAGCTCTCCCCGGACATGTGATCACCCCCTAGTCCCCCCACCTGGGGGCCTCTCTGTGGACACTCTAGATCACGTGTCTGCAGGGTCAACCAGAGTGCCAACCCTGTCCTTAGGCTGACACTCTCCCACTTTCCCTCGTGGGAGACTGCACTGCATGCTATGCGTCGTGCCTGCGCTATCCCAGCGCTCACCAAGCCCCGCCAGGGCTGGTACTACACGCACCACGGGGTGTACGCGATGACAATGCATCGCACGCCCACGGTCCTTCCGGGCCAGCACCATACAGTGACATCCTCGATGTCATTACAGATGCAATAATCCATTTCACTCCTGCACATTAGCTCATTGCATCGTTCCACATCTGCAGTGGTGGTCCACCTATATTGGTGTCAAGTCATGAGGTGAAGAAGCCATTCATATTCCTCGCAAAGCATTGTGTTAGAGAATGGCCCATGAAAGTGGATATTGCGTAACTAACTTCTAAAATCCAAGCGTCCACTGGTTCACACAAAGGTGCAGCACTTTATTCATTCTGGTGGAATTGATCAAAATAAAGTGCAGAACAAAATGCAAGTTCATACGCTCTTGTTGTTCAGCACTCTGAGCTCTGACCCATCTCAATAGCTGTACACATTTATGATGGAGTGTTTTTTCACTAAAGTCAACACTAGCAAAGAAACGTGGACTTTACCTTAATGTTTGTTTTTAACTTTTAGCAATAGCGACATTCTCCACGTAAATTCTTTGTGCATGTGGCAAAAAACTGGCAAAGAAGTTACATCTTCTTGGTTCTTTCGGTAAAGTCACAGAGAATGGGAAAGAAATAATAAAATTAAGCGTTTTATTTTATTTATTTTATTATTTAATTCCCATTCTACGTGACTTTACCGAAAGAACCAAGAAGATGAATCCCTGCAGTCACGAAAGCTTTAAATCGAAAAGTGGTTTACACTGAAGATAGCTTTCTCCCTGAACCTTCCTGTGTGATGTTTTTTCGTAGCTTAACATGTGTAAATATGCTTTCGCAATTTTATACCAAGGCTTTCACGACCAATATTTCATTATTACAGTCGATGCTTGTGAGCTAGATCCGTGTAGGTATGTAAATTTTCAGCTATACCCTCCAAAATTTGCTGGTAACATCTGATGATGCTGGATGTAATCTCCAGTGAAATGTTGTACAAAATTGTCACAATTTTGCTTGGGATTTTCAACATTCCTCTTCCTCCGGTTTGCTAAAAAACAATAAATTGACATATTTGCCCAATTATGTGACAACTTTATTTTATTACCTCTGTCAGGTTGTGGAGGGTATAGCTGAAAATTGGCATTACTGTGTAACGACACGATCTAATGCAAAGTAACTAATTAGGAATAATGCATTCATGAGTTACAATTAACCAATATATAAACGTTAATCTATAATCAAGGTGAGGAGTCAAACACAGGTGGAGTGGTGGCGCACTGCGCTATGCACCTGGCAATCCGAGTTTTGTAATTCATAATAACCATGCCACTGTACTAATTTAAACCGTGACATAATTATGGACAGTCTAAGGTTTTTACTGAGTAAGTCATACTTCCAGGGTTGATAAAATGATCCACCACTGTGGGAAGTCAACAGTGTCCATTGGAGAGACTGGCTTTTGCCGCATTAATGTGGAATTATCACCACCAACACAGGGTCACCCACAGAGATGAGTACCACCATATGCACGGGCGTGGGCATGCATCCACTATCAAACACGTGCTAAGCAATCCGAGTGTTGAGAAGGAGCAGCCAGGCTCTGTTGTATAAATATCAGCCAAGGGAGCGATTTAGATTTTACAATTATCTCATCTCTCAAATCTTGACTTAAAGCTTTCGTGACTGCAGGAATTCATATTCTTGGGTCTTTCGGTAAAGTCACGTAGATAGGTTCAAAGAAAATAACAAAAACTATGACGTTTCGATCGCAACACCAGCGGTCGTCTTCAGGAAAAGAATATCTCATCTCTCATTGACCTGTGTGTGTAAATGCGTGTCCGTCGGACATGGTATTGGCCACCCACTCGTGCACTGCGCCGGCCTTCATAGGTGCTCGCTGATAGCATTTGCCGAAAGTCTGTTAAATGGCACATGGGGATCTTTGTATGTGTCTTTGTATGTACACGTGTGTGTGTGTGTGTCTGTGATATCTTATCGGTGGGGAGCAGTAGTGTAGCGGTTAGCACGCTGCGCTATGAACTCGGCGATCCGGGTTCGATTCCCGCTCACGGCCAACACCAGTGACGATTATCTGAACCGGTCCTGGACCTCCCCTAGGTCGACTCAGCCTGAAATGAGTACCTGGTGCGGTGTGTAAACATCACCACTGGGGAGACAATGGCGGTCGGGCGTGGTTTTGGCCACCCACCCCCTCGTGTACCGTTCCGGCCTTCATAGGTGCTCGCTAACAGCACTTGCCCCTGCAGTCTGTTTAGGCTATACGGGGGGTCTTTGTCTTGTCTTATCGGTGCAGAATTCTTTCAGCAACTCATTGAGATGTTGCCCGAGTTCAGGAAGGAGCCGCTCGTGCGCTTGTGGTTGGGACCCATCCCGGTGCTCCTGCTCTACCACCCGGACACCGTGGAGGTAAGATTCCCATCACCACATGTGGGTGTCGTCATCTTGTTACAATAAACTTCTCCCTTGACAGTAATGACAAAGCCTTGGCGATTCGCGATGTGCTCATGGATCTTCAACACAGCAGCTGGCTCAGGACTGAATCTGCCGATTGCTGCTGGCATCAGTCACTGATATCATGCAATGGAGAAGTCGATTTAATAAAAAAAACTGTGCACGATAGTGTTGTGTCGACAAGGTTGACGGTGTTGAGGAGGGTTAATGAGGTTGGCAGAGTTGACTGTCCTTAGGTCCAGAACAATTGGGAACCACTCCAGTCGAGTAGTTTGCACTGCAGAATCACCCGCACTATGCACAGTGGTGATGAAGTGGTATTGCATATACATGTGTAGTGCCTTAAAAAATGACTCACACTGACACGTAACAAGTCCCCTGCTTACACTTTATTCACCTATTCTTGCGCAAGGGATCTGCGAGCCATCCTCACGCACTCGCACCACGCAGACTTGAAATCTCCACACTCAGCATAGCATGCTCCAATCACACACACGGGATTCCACTAAACGAGGGTCAATGGTTAATGGGCACTGACATCACACGGACCCGGCGTGTGAGACGGAGATGTGTATTCGGAACGAGGGCGGAGATGGAGCGTTTAAAAGGGGCTGCGAGACGTGTGTTCGGGGTTAGTTTTAGGAACGAGTGTGGCTGTGGTTTTAACAGTAAACAAGTGCGTAACCAGTCTCCGACTCCTCTTCACTTACACCAGTTGTAGGCACTCCTATAACTATCTATACAGTCACTTATGTTTAACCTCTCCCCACTTATCTACCTTTCACCCCCCTTATCCTGCACTCAGCAGCTCTGCTCTCAGCGATTCCGCACACAGCGTCTCCTCACACAGCGTCTTCGCACACAGCGTCTTCGCACACAGCAGCTCTGCACACAGCATCTCCGCACACAGCGTCTCCGCACACAACAGCTTCGCACACAGCGTCTCCGCACACAGCGTCTCCGCACACAGCGTCTCCGCACACAGCAAGCCCCCATCTCTGCCGCTGCCCTTCACCGGCAACAGTGTGAGTCGCAGCGGCGAGATGTCTTCACTCTTGGTTCCCCGCAACAACTCCCTCTCCGCTCACGCACACACCCTTATATCTCTTTGCTCATTATCCGAGACCTCTCATGCATCTCTTTAGCTCCCACCAGGCCGGCGTCTGTTGGCCCATAAATCAACCCTCATCTCCCGTTTCCCTGGCAACACCTCCGGTCTCAACGTGCACACCCGGTCGACCCCGTTTGCACCCGCTTCTCCCCTTAATTAGGTGGCAGTTTGTCCGTGCAACCTCATGTTGCACACGCACCTGTTTGCCCTCAGTTGCCCTCGGTTAACTGTGCGCACTGCGTATTTTACTCCTCTACACGTGGCATTTAGTTGTCTGGTTTGAATCATTCTATTGCATAGCAGTGCATTATAAACTTCACTGTGTTGTTTTATTCCCACAGATGATCCTGAGCAGCTCAAAGCAGATAGACAAAGCGTTCATGTATAAGTTCCTGCATCCATGGCTGGGAACTGGCCTTCTCACGAGGTACAGCCTCATGGCTTCAGCAGCATGAACCTTAACCCAATGTGGGCTCAGTCAGGGGCTACACATTGCCTGTACCAGTGGCATTTCCATCTCGTGCACATGCATTGGGTGATATCCGGGGTAGAGGTTAGCCACGCTGATCATTCTGACACGGACAGAGATGCTGATGCTGAATTTGGAGAAGTTGGCAACATGCACCCACAACCACAAGTGACGATAAAATAACATGGATGCCGTGTGTATAGAATCAGGCATTGAGTGAGCGCACTGATAATTGTTCGGATTGTCTGTTTGCAAGAATAACAACTCATTTAGGTCTCTCTCAGACACAGCAGGCCCAGCGAACACGAAACACGCAACAATGGGAAAACGTTTTCCATGCGGCTGGTACCGTTGGGCCATCAGTGGTAAAACGTTCCAAGTTTACTGGGAAGTCGGAAGACCATCCTTCACAAGCGAATATGTGACCATGCATCTACAGCTACGTCGTTGCTTTGCTGTTTCCATTGTCGCCAGCACGGGGGAGAAGTGGCGATCGCGCAGGAAGATGATCACCCCCACGTTCCACTTCTCAATCCTCGTGGACTTCCTGGAGGTGATGAATGAGCAGGCGGAGATCCTGGTGCAGAAGCTACAGCTGCTCGCCGGCCCCGAGCCCTTCAACTGCTTCAACCCCATCACCCTGTGCGCGCTGGACATCATCTGTGGTGCGTCCAACAAATATACTGCGCGTCATGGTTAAAGAGTTAATTGTATGATGCATGCACGGGACCTTCAAAGTCAAGCTGAACTTAACGCTTTAGATTTTTTGCATTTATCTGTGTTTCCCCATTGCTACACTCAACGCTTAGCGAAATGGCACATACAACTACGTGTAATGGGTTCGATTGAGGTGCACACTCAAACTGGAGACAACTCTATTAACAACGTAACAACCAACTTGAACACTATACATAAGGTGGTGACCACCGTTCCTAATTTAACTAACACTCGGGTGGAATACTACATAACGTAACCAGGGCAGGTTAAGAGGCTGCCTGGTCACGGACGAAGATCGGAGACTCGAGGACCGCTGATGGCATCTTCATCCCGGGGTTGAACAGCCACGCTGTCTCTTCACACCCCGCTTATAACTGCTGCGGCGTGGCCGCCCCTGCCCTCGGCCACGCCCCCCTTCCCGATCCTTCGGGAAGGTCCGGGCCCCTTACCACGTGACCACCAAGCTCCCCCCTGGGGCCCCTGGCCCCCCTTCATCCGGTCACGTGTCCTGTCGGGTTCCCGCAGAATGTCACGGCCTGACACGACCTCGGTGACACCCCGTCTACAGTACCCGTACAGACCCAACACAGTAGTGACGTCATATGTCACTGCATACGTATGCAGTGAAGGGTGGAGGGAAGATGCAAAGGGGAAGGAAAGTGGAGGGGAGAGGGTGAAGGGAAAATCTGCGAGTCTTCCTGGACATTAAAAGGCCTGATTTTTTTTACAGGTCTGCTGTAATACGTGACTCAAGACAATACAATGATGGAAATGCTAATACAGTTAAACTATTCATACTTCCATATTTTGCAGGAAGTACTGACAAAATAGTATGGTCCTCAGAAAAGCAAAACAAGGTGAGAATTGAAACTGTAAATAAAATATAACACCTGTTACCTTCAGCCAAATATAAATGACCGTATTTAGAATCAGAAGGTGTGTATCAGATTTTGTGCCCACGGCAATTATTAGATTGGCCAGACAGGTCGCACAGTTAGTACGAGACTTAACATCAAAGAAACATCAAACGCAGACTCAAGTATCTGCGGTGGAAGAACACCCATATCAGGAAGGGGACACACTGATGGGGTTAAAGTCCCGTGTAAAATTAATTATTACGTGCAAATATTAACTGGGAAATCTATTGATACTGAGAAAAAACAAAATATCTTAAACCAAGCACTGCCTGACTCCCCAATTATTGATAAATAATGGTCATAGGGATTGAAATTGAATTAATATCATTACATAACACTTAACTAAATTAATTATAGCATTATATAACTCGAGCTGTTTTTGAATTCAACCAACCGATAATTTTATGAGAAGATTGTAACACTTGCATATATAGGCCTTTTTCCAAAATTAATATTAAGAATGATTCTGCCTATTTTTTTTGTAATAATCGATCAGGGTGAGCATGGGGCATGAAAGGGTGAGGCACACCCCCACCCCTCACACCCCAGCTGCCTTGTCACATTAAAGCAACTGGAGGGAGGTCATAAAGATCCATTAAATAATAAACCCTGGGGCAAATGGAGGTTAATTAAAATCTGGGAAATCTCCAGATTGTCAAAGGACCATATGACACGACCTCCACAGCTGTTTTGGACAGTTTCACAAACAAATTTCTAGACTCGCTGGTGCGGGAGGAACAGCCTGGTCTCAAATCGAAACTTGCTGACACGGTCGTTGCACCACCCCATTCAGATCTCCATGGACGCAGAGCAGGGGCAATCGGACATAACTGGCGTTTTTTTTTACAATGGTAAAGTTCGAAACTTAGCGATAAGAATAAATCGACATTATAGACTGCCAGTACACTTCTAGATTTAAAGCTTTCGTGACTGCTAGGATCCATACTCTTTGGTTCTATTGGGTAAAGTCACGTAGGTGAAAATAAATAACAAAAAATCACGACGTTTCGGCCACAACACAAGCGGCCTTCATCAGGTGAAGGGACGAGACTGTCTGGAGGACGGCGCTGGAGTGGAAGAAGCCACGCTTAGATCACGACCTTCTTCCACTCCAGCGCTGTCCTCCAGACAGTCTCGTCCCTTCACCTGATGAAGGCCGCTTGTGTTGTGGCCGAAACGTCGTCATTTTTTGTTATTTTATTTTCACCTACGTGACTTTACCCAATAGAACCAAAGAGTATGCCAGTACACTCTCAGATTAAGAACCAGACTGCAGTCTACATTAGTGGCTTTTATTATTACTTACTTTATTTTACTCTTATTCACCGCATATATTGTTTTTTTTATTGTATCTTTCTATCTACGTGACTTTACCAAAAAAAGAGACCTGAAGGCTCGTTGGGACACTGTCTACAGGAAAGCCACCCACACAGATTCCTATCTGAAACCTGATTCCCACCACCATTCGCCACAGAAGAATTCCCTCATCAAAACACTACACCATAGGGCCCACTGCATTTCTGACCAACACCACCTAGCCAGTGAACTGGAACACGTACACCAGGCCCTCAAGATGAATGGGTACTCGGACCGCTTTATTCGCAAAGCTGTTTCTCCAACCATGGAAAAACAACCGCATGAGACGCCGATCAAAACCATCACGTTACCATATATAGCAGGCATTACCAAACAGATTTCCAAAATCAAACACAAGATCCAGGTCCGATTCGGTACAGTGCACAAAATCCGTGATCTAATCCCATCTGTGAAGGATGTCATTCCTGACATGCAATATCCTGGAGTCTACAAACTAAGTTGCACCTGTGGTGGGTGTTACATTGGGGAAACGAAACGACATATCTCGGACCGTGTTTGCGAGCACAGATCAGATCTGAAACACGGCAGAACCAATACCTTCGCTGTGGCTGACCATTTTTATAACGCTGTTGGCTCTCATGATATTGTTTTTTTCCGAGACCAAGGTACTCTGCAAACCTTCGGGCTACTATCAAAGGTTTGTTCATGAATCCATCCAGATAAACAGACATAACTTCAACCGAGAAGATGGATACAAATTGAGCAATCATTGGAAGGATGTTATTAACCAGGTAAAACCTTAACTGCTTTATGGTGTCGCCTTCATATTCGCATCTCCAGTTTCTACAGCCTCCCACTCCCAACCCCGCTCACTTTTGCCTTGCTCGTTTCCTAATCCCTCTAGCAGCGCTCCTACCCCCCCCCCCCCCATCACTCCTTCTTCGCTCCTCCCCCCTCTTTTACCTATATAGTATCTTTACTCTTTGGTTCTATTCGGTAAAGTCACGTAACAAACAACAAAAAATAAAAATAAAAAATTCACGACGTTTCGGCCACAACACAAGTGGCCTTCATCAGGTGAAGGGACCGTGCTGTCATGAGGACAGCGTTGGAGTGAAAACAGCCAAGCCCAGGTCGCGTCCTTTAAGCTGTGTGGGAGGAAGCAAAGCGCTTGACAAAGGAATTAGTATAGAAATGAGCACGATATACGTAGGAGGTGTATGGGCCATGATGGACCAGGAGCGGGGTGGGGACCATAACGGACCAGCAGCAGGGGGGGGGGGGGAGTAGAGTGAGTGGAGTGAGTGAGTTAGTGGAGTGAGTGAGTGGAGTGAGTGAGTGGAGTGAGTGAGTGGAGTGAGTGAGTGGAGTGAGTGGGTGGGTGGAGTGAGTGGGTGGGTGGGTGGAGTGAGTGAGTGAGTGGAGTGAGTGAGTGGAGTGAGTGAAGGGGACAAGACTGTCCAGAGGACAGCGCTGGAGTGCACACAGTCAAGCTCAGACCGCGACCTCTAAGCTGTGTGAGAGGAAGCCGAGCGCCCTGACAAAGGAATTAGCATAAAAGTTAGCATTTCATTGGCGGACTTAGAATGAAGGACGATGTACTGGGGAGCATGTGCAGACAGGCGAGGGGGAGAGTGGGGAGCCCACATATTGATGGTGTGAAAAGGGAATTTAAGCAGCTGCGAAAGTTTGGGATACCACTACTTAAAAAATATACTGTACCATTGAAAATTAGCTTAATGTTTGGTTTGATTCAGAACATCTTTCCAATGGTTGCTTAATTGATGGACCAGGAGCGGGTGGGGACCATGACGGACCAGCAGCGGGGGGGGGGGGGGGAAGTAGAGTGAGTGGAGTGAGTGAGTGGAGTGAGTGAAGGGATCAGACTGTCCAGAGGACAGCGCTGGAGTGCACACAGTCAAGCTCAGACCGCGACATCTAAGCTGTGTGAGAGGAAGCAGAGCGCCCTGACAAAGGAATTAGCATAAAAATTATCATTTCATAGGTGGACTTAGAATGAAGGACGATGTACTGGGGAGCATGTGCATACCGGTGAGGGGGAGAGGGGGGGAGCCCACATATTGATGGTGTGAAAAGGGGGAATTTAAGCAGCTGCGAAGGTTTGGGATACCACTACTTAAAAAATATACTGTACCATTGAAAATTAGTTTAATGTTTGGTTTGATTCAGAACATCTTTCCAATGGTTGCTTAATTTGAAACCATCCTCTCGGTTGCAATTGTGTCTTTGTTTGTAAATCTGAATTGCCTCGTAAACAAATCTCTGATAAAAACCCGTGGTTTTGCAAAGAACCTTGGTATCGGAGAAAATTATATCTTGATCACCCACAGTGTTGTAACAGTGATCAGCTATGGCAGAAGAATTCGTTCTGCCGTGTTTCAAATCTGATTTGTGCTCGCGGGTTCGGTCAGAGACATGTCGTTTCGTCTCCCCGATATAGTAGTCACCACAGGTGCAGATCAATTTGTAAACTCCGGGGTACTGTAAGTCAGGAATGGCATCCTTCACGGAAGGGATCAGGGGTTTTACCGAATAGAACCAAAGAGTATGGATCCTTGCAGTCACGAAAGCTTTAAATCTAGAATATATAGTATCTTGTCATAGCAGCTCTTTTGCCCACTTCAGCAATTGTTTCTTGCTGTGGTTGTCCCACCTGATGACAGACGCTTGTGTTGCGCCCGAAACGTCATGAT